AATACTTTAAAACTGTTTGTGGATTCAGGTTTGTTGACAAAAAATGAATATGAATACATGTGTGTTGAGCATCCGATCACACCAGTACTATACACGCTGCCTAAAATTCACAAACCTTATAAGGATATCCCTTCTGGGAGACCCATAGTGGCAGCAATTGGGTCACTTACAGAAAAAATTTCGGCTTTCGTTGATTTTCACTTACAACCTTTAGTCACGTCTTTACCTTCTTATATTAGAGATACTATGGATTTTATCGAACTCATGAATAATGTGACATTACCTGATTATCCGGTCCTTCTAGTCACCATGGATGTTGAATCGCTTTACACCAATGTTCCATTTCAGGGAGGGTTAGAGGCAATTAAATTTTTTCTCGATCAACGTCCTTGTCAGGTTCCAAGCACTGTATGTTTGAGTGACTTGGCAAAATTGGTGCTTTCACATAATTATTTTTTCTTTGGGTCAGATTACTATCTGCAGATCTCAGGAGTCAGCATGGGTTCCAAGATGGCCCCTAGTTTTGCATCTTTATTTTGCGGGTTGTTTGAACATCAGTTTGTGTTAAATCCTGTGGCGAATGATTTCTTGAGACACATTGTTCTATGGAAACGATACATTGATGATGTTTTTTTAGTATGGAGTGGTACTAAATCTGAGTTACTAGAGTTTAATAGCTTGGTTAATAATAAGTGTAGTGCGTTGAAATTTACTATGGAATTTCATCTAGAGAAAATTAATTTTTTGGACGTGCTTGTTCTTCGTACTGCATCAGGCATTGAAACTACTTTGTATCGCAAACCAACTGACCGTAACACCATTTTACACGGACAATCCTATCATCCTGTGTCATTAAAGCGTTCGTTACCAATTTCACAATTTAGTCGCATTCGTCATATTTGCAGCAGTGATGAAGATTTTCAACAGCAATCACAAATTTTATCACAGAGATTTAGAAAACGATCATATCGAGAAGAGTGGATTCAGTCTGCAGCAAGTCGTTTTAAAGATGTGTCACAACAAGAGTCTCGTTAAAAAACATACAAAATTTGACCGTTGTGTTAACTGTTACATCCAATATTCGCCTGTCGAAGGACATTGATTATGTTTTATTGAAACATTGGCATATTGTTGAGAGTGATCCCAACCTCAAGAAATGTTTTGACAAACCACCTCGTTTAGTGCACAAGAAAACATCTAATCTTCGAAATCTTTTGGTTAGAGCTGATTTGAAACCTGCTCCTCATTTTTTGAATAAAATACCATATGGGAATTACAGATGCGGTAACTGTCAACAGTGTAATTTCACATATAAGACGTCGACCTTTACACATCCGCACACGGCAAAACATTTTTAAATTCGTGGCACTATTTCATGTAAGACGGCTAATGTCATTTACCTGTTGCGTTGCCCTTGTGGTTTATGTTATATTGGTAAGACCAGCAGACCTCTAAAAACTCGCATCTCTGAACATCGATGTGCAATTAGACATCGCGATCCAAAAAGTCCGGTAGCACAGCACTTTGCAGATTCAAGACACTGAGTTTCCACTCTTCAGTACATAGGTATTGAAGTAGTGAAGTGTCCGCGTCGCGGAGGTGATATCAAAAAATTGCTTTTACAACGCGAAGCCTTTTGGATTTATACACTAGACACGTTGTCCCCTAGAGGATTAAATGAGGATTTTGATATTCGTCCATTTCTTTAAACAGACGATATCTATCTACATATAATAAATAACGTTTTGTGGTTATTGATTTGTATTTATGTACCCAGGCAGGCATCAATTAATGTTATTAAACAATATTTTGAGAATTATATTCATGTATTTTGCATAGCTTTACATGTTTTTGATTTATTTTGATATGTTATTGTTTTGGTATTATTATTATTATTATCATGATAATATGGTACGGTCATGTGACCTTTGATCACCTGGAGGTAGGCCTATAAAGATCGGGATATCAGTGTTGTTCATTTGTCTGATGAAGAGCCTGCGTGCTCGAAACGTCACATATGCTATGCGACAGTTTTTTAAAGAATACAACTTTTTGATACTTTTGGAGCTTTGGTGTTGCCGACTTTACATCCAAAAATTTAATAAAATTGGATTAAATGCATAAAGGATTTTTGTTATTTAACATATTTAATTATTGCAGGTTTGCATCATATTCTGAGTTTGCGTTTCACTGTTTTTATTCATTTTGAGGAACACTGAATCTGTTTTGTGCTGTAAGATGAGTAAATACATGTTTAATTTATATATAAATAAATATGTATATCATATTTTAAATATAATAAATGTTGTATATTTTAAATATTATTATATAAAATATTTTATTTATAAGGACAACACACATTAATCAACATTTCTGTAAACGTGCCAGTGTTAGCCAGCCAGCTAATGTTCAGCTGCAGTCCTTTGGCAAGATGTCTCAGAGCCCTTTAAGATATCAAGAAGAATAAACAAAAGACAAGAAGACATCAGTACACTAACACAATAACAACAATCAACACAATTAGCCATGCAAGCACACGTATCAGTAGGTGTGTGCAGGCATGCTGAACAAACATTAACCATACATGAAGCACAACAGACACCATTATGGGTTAATAAAATAACACGCACCTAAATCAGTCGACACATGAGAAGCAAAGTAGCTGGTGTTACTTATTTGAAAAATATGTTTTCCTGTAAAAATAGTAAAAGTAATGCCTTACTTTACTAGTTACTTGGAAAAAGTTCCACATCTCGCGTTTCCCCCAACACTGCTCTTTTGTGTGTGGCTAATCGTCCTCTAATGTTGTTGATTGTCCAGGACTCTCCGTGATGACAGGGAACTGTTCATTCACCCTGATTCAGTGCTGTATGGAGAAAAGCCCCCGAAATGGTACTTGTATAAACCCAAGGGAATTAATGGTACTTATTCCATTTAGTTTGTTGGTTTTTCACTGAATACTAACTGAACTCTTTGTTTGGGGACGCGGCGCAGGGTGGTCTTCAACGAGGTGGTTCAGACCAGCAAGTACTACATGCGTGACGTGACGGCGGTTGAGTCCTCCTGGCTGGTGGAGCTGGCACCTCACTTCTACAAACAGGCCAAGGTGAGAGCGACACAAACCACACAGCATTTACAGGCAGATGAGCTGATCTAGATATTCACAATTCATTTAAAAGCCTCTGGTGTGTAAAAATAGTAAATATCATCATGTCCTCCTGTTTTTTTTACCCTAATAAAAGATATCAGAGCATTAAATAGTTAATAAAGAAACTTCATTCTAATGCTCATTATATTAGCGTTAGCCGCGCTTATGCTAACGATCAGTGGTGGACAGTAACGAAGCAGTTTTACTTCGTTACTGTACTTGAGTAAATTTTTCAAGTATCTGTACTTTACTGGAGTAGTTTTATTTTGAGTAACTTTTACTTTTACTTCACTACATTCCAAATATTCCATAAGATCGTACTTTTTACTTCACTACATTTCATAAAACATATCGTTACTCCTTATAATATATCAAGTGCTCCGAGACGCAGAAGCGGTGTCTGATTCATGAACGAACTGATTCTTTTCAATTAACCTTTTAAATCGGATCGCAAATCGCACCAAACGATTCATTGACGAATTGGAATGATCCGAATGCAGCTGTTCTCGAGTCGACACCTCACTGATTCACATGATCCGTTTAGTGCGAGTCTCCAGTGAACTGAACTCACAAGTAAGAACCGGGAGATCTTGTGAGCGCGCACGTCTGATGCTGTTAAAAGTAAGTTACTAATGTCGAATTTTAGGATTAATTATTGTAACTGAAAATCATATTTAGGTCAGAGCTGTCAGTTGTTTGTGAACTAAATCTGCTGTAAAGGGTGATCTGTTTAAGCCCACTGAAATGCATGAGTGCAGACACATCAACATCAGAGTCTCTATGTTTTAGGTGCTATGCATTTAGCCCTATGTGACATCTGTTTTTATATTGTTTGTCGGCACACATGGCTAGTTGATCCAGATACATAGTAACTTCAGCTGAGTAGAAAAATATAAATGTTTATTCATAACCATGCTGAAAATAAGTCAATGTTAGCTGATGCTAACTGTCTAGCTAACGAGCTTGCTGGTGCTAAATTGAGGTAATAAAAAAAATAATAATAAAGCTGCAAAATAAACATTCATCTATCGGTACTTTTTACTTAAGTACATAAAAAAATCAAGTACTTTTGGTCTTTCATTCGAGTAAAATTGAAAACGGAGTACTTTTACTGGAGTAATATTTTATTATACGGATCTGTACTTCGTCCACCACTGCTAACGATTAACTACTCTAATAACAGCAATGTTCATTTCAATCCGACATTCAAATTAAAATATTGAATAATAATCATAACAGAAGCGGTGTTTCCCTCAGACTTGCACTCTATTTGTGGCGGCATATATATGCAAATTCATTCTCTGCCAGCAGGAGGCGCTTGTAGAGCGGGAGAAATCGAGGTTTCCCGAGTAACGGCTGTAATCAAATAAGCGCTGCGCTCACAAACGCTGCTTTATCAGGCATTACAGGCAAGATGAAATGAGAATGACATCCATCATTTTCTGAAGACAGTTGGTTTCCTTCAGAAATGCAGTGATATAAAAACACCCGCACCGGGTTTCGACTTTGACACGTGCAGTGCTCATGTTTATTCAATGAAGTCAAAGCCTTTTGGAAAATCTATTTGTGGCGGTGAGTTTTGATATTGTGGCGCGGGCCGTCACAAAAAAATCAATATGGGAAACACTGAGAATATCTAAATATTAAAAATTAAAATGAAACTTACCTGCTTGAACTCTTTCTGGATGTCTGTCTTTAAAGTGTTTTGTTAGTTTGGTGTGTTTCCTACTTTTGATGTCGCCACATGCTTTTATGAAGAGAGCGCATCTGCATCAAGAACCGGGTTGACCGGGTACTCGTTACCACCGGTACTTAAAAAAACTTTTTAGTACCGACTTTGTACCGAAGTACCGGGTCTTTTGACAACACTAGTCTGGACCGAAAAAACACACTTATATTCCATTCATGTAGTGCTGTCAAACGATTAATCGCATCCAAAATACAAGTTTTTGTTTACAAAATATGTGTGCTGTGTATATTTATTATGTATATATAATTGCAAACACATGCAGATAAATTATATGAATATGAATATAGACATAAATATTTTCAAAATATATACATTATAAATAAGTATATTTAATATATAAACATTTTTCTGAAATATATGCATGCATGTGTTTGTATTTATGTATATATATATATACAGCGGGTACGGAAAGTATTCAGACCCCCTTACATTTTTCACTCTTTGTTATATTGCAGCCATTTGCTAAAATCATTTAAGTAATTTTTTTTCCTCATTAATGTACACACAGCACCCCATATTGACAGAAAAACACAGAATTGTTGACATTTTTGCAGATTTATTAAAAAAGAAAAACTGGAATATCACATGGTCCTAAGTATTCAGACCTTTTGCTGTGACACTCATATATTTAACTCAGGTGCTGTCCATTTCTTCTGATCATCCTTGAGATGGTTCTACACCTTCATTTGAGTCCAGCTGTGTTTGATTATACTGATTGGACTTGATTAGGAAACCCACACCCCTGTCTATATAAGACCTTACAGCTCACAGTGCATGTCAGAGCAAATGAGAATCATGAGGTCAAAGCAACTACCTGAAGAGCTCAGAGACAGAATTGTGGCAAGGCACAGAACTGGCCAAGGTTACAAAAAAATTTCTGCCGCACTTAAGGTTCCTAAGAGCACAGTGGCCTCCATAATCCGTAAATCCAGCCAGGGCCCTGACTTAAACCCAATTGAGCATCTCTGGAGAGACCTAAAAATGTCTGTCCACCAACGTTTACCATCCAACCTGGCAGAACTGGAGAGGATCTGCAAGGAGGGATGGCAGAGGATCCCCAAATCCAGGTGTGAACAACTTGTTGCATCTTTCCCAAAAAGACTCATGGCTTTATTAGATCAAAAGGGTGCTTCTACTAAATACTGAGCAAAGGGTCTGAATACTTAGGACCATGTGATATTTCAGTTTTTCTTTTTTAATAAATCTGCAAAAATGTCAACAATTCTGTGTTTTTCTGTCAATATGGGGTGCTGTGTGTACATTAATGAGGAAAAAAATTTTTAGCAAATTAGCAAATGGCTGCAATATAACAAAGAGTGAAAAATTTAAGGGGGTCTGAATACTTTCCGTACCCACTGTATATATATATATATACATAAATATACACAGCACACACACACATATATTATGTAAACAAAAACTATCCTCAATCATGTTTGTTTATAAATGTTAAAAAAATAGTTTAAAGTGTTGTCTGCTCACCAAAGCTGCATTTATTTGATCAAAAACACAATAAAAACAGTAATATTATATAATAGTATAACAATTTAAAATAACAGTTTTCTATATCTGTTAAAATGTAATTTATTCCTGTGATCAAAGCTGAATTTCCAGCATCATTACTGCAGTCTTCAGCGTCACATGATCTTCAGAAATCATTCTGATATGCTGCTCGAGAAACATTTCTGATTATTATCAATGTTGTGTATTTTTGTGCAAAGTTTTTTTTTTTAAAGCTCCTTTGTTGATTAGGAAGTTCAAAAGAACAGCATTTATCTGAAATAGAAATCGTTTGTAACATTATAAATATCTACACCGTTGCAATTTAATGCATCCTTGCCGAATTTCAAGTATTAATTTTCCCCTGAAAAACATTCTCACCTTTAAAGTTTAAATTAAAAACTGGTTTTACTGAATCATTTATACAAATGCTTCAACAAAAATACAAGCCAATTCCTTTCATTACAAAATCAGTGAACCTCACTAGTCATATTTGCTCTTTGCTACAGTTAAATACGTTTTGGTTGTTGTTGATGTCACACAAAAATATATTAACATGGCTTTTTTTATACAAAAACAGACTAATGTTGCCTTTAAAAATGGCTTTTTTCCCCCACCTCTGCCTCTCTGATTTGTCTTATAGCACGGGTCTCTGAACAGCAAGCGGGCCAAAGTCTTCTGAGCTCGGCTACATCCACACTTCCAGGTTTTTGCTGAACAGCTGGCCATAGATAGAGGAAGATCTTAAGGAACCGCTCCTCTAAAACTAAAGGAACTATTAAGTACACACATGCACACTTTGGTGTTTATTGCAGCTGGAAGGCAAAAGGAACACTGTGGTATTTTGTATATACAAATGTATGTGATACATTTATGCGGTCATGGTCATCTTTGTATTATTTAACAGCCATTGGAATAACTTGACTGTGATTTTGTTGATTACTGTTTGAGAGTGAGAGAATGACTGGATGGATGGATGGATAGATATTGGAGATTTACAGCTTTACAACATCGCACGAAGCCCTACCCTCAACAGTAACCATAATATTACTATAATAAGCTACTTTGTACCAGTTATTTCAAACCCTCATCGGAGAAATACTGTGTAGCTCAAACGTAGTGGCCTTTTAACCATTATGTGCCAAATATTATAAATCCGTAGAACATTTCCTGATGTATGTGGAATGTGAAATGAATTGTAGTTACACTGTCAGCATGAGACAAAAAAGTGCCATTTTTTAATATTATATATATATATAGGTCCCCATAAAGTAGCCTTGTTATGCACCTCTGGCCTAAAAACTGTGTTATTAGGTGTAATTATTAATTTCATAGTGTAGTGTAAGATCTCATTTAGGAAAGATCAGCCATGACTTGTTCAGTGTGGGGAGTGAATAGCACAGCGAATGAGACGCCTCAGGGAGGAGCTTCTTTCTTATTAAAGTAAATGGGGTGCTAACTGTGGATATGGCAACCCTTCTCAGGTCACGCCTCTTCTGGGCGTGGCGTTTAATAGGAAGGCTGAGGTGCCAATCATGTGGGTGGAGGCGGAGCCTCTGTCATAATGTGATGTTTTGACAACGTTTGTGATGTTTTAGTTTTACTGTGACATGTTGGTCCCTGCATAGTTTATTATATCCCAAAAAAAATGTCATTAAAATCTACATTCAAGGTTACTTCTGTAACATTATTACCAAATGTCTTCAAGACAACACACATGGTTATAGAGTATATGTAGTCGGTAGCCTTGAGTAGTGTAGATTTAGCCGCTGACAAAGTCCTGTGCAGTCTTATTGATAGCAGTTTAAACGTTCTTGCATGTCTTTAAACAATACAGATCTCACGTAGTTTCACAGCAGTGCGGTTATTTGTGGAGGAAATCAAATAATCATACCTTACTCTGACTCTGTCCAGATGTGCTGCTCCAGAGCTCTGTGTGTCAGAGAGTCAAATAAAGTCTGATGTTCACTGTGAAAACACGTGTCGAGTCTCTACTAGGTCTGTTTTACATAGAATAAAGAAGGAAACTGTGGAAAACTATGCGGTTTGGATTTGTATAAAAGTGTCCATGTGATGCTGGTGAAATATTACAACTGCTTCATGTTTTAGGACTTGACAGTCAAATACAGCATACAAATAATAGGAAAGAAGATATCGAACTACATGTTCTGATTAAAACAAGTGTGTGTGATTGAAGGTGACCAGAAGGTGTCAGTGTTGGTCAGAGAAATGCATTCAGTCTGATTCAGAGAAACATTTCATCAGATTATGAATTATTGTCTTGTCTAGCATGTGCTAATAAATGTGCACATCTGAAATAATATTACAGTCTTTTGGAGACACTTTGAGGTCAGCAGGAGGTTTGGGGTTAGTAGGAATTTTCTTGTTTGTTTTGAAAGAAGTCTGTTATGCTCACCAATTTATTATTTGGATAAACGATTACATTTAAAAAATAACTGTCTCCTATTTGATCACTGTTGTAAGTATAAATGGCTTAATGAACTCCATATATATATATATATCACACACACACACACACACTCACTCACTCACATACACGCGCACTCACACACACACACACACACACACACACACACACACACACTCACTCACTCACATACACGCGCACTCACACACACACACAGTCTGGTCAGCTATCCTTACACACACAGACACACAAGGAGTTTATTCAACTCTTAACTCCTCCCATCCACACACACACACCTGTGGATGTGTCATGATTTACACTCAACAAAATACATCAGAATAATGGCTATTGGATGCCGATTTACCACAATTTCCTACATGGGATCTATTTATCATGAGGTTTTCTAAAAACGAATCATATATTAGTCCTGTCAAACGATTAATCGCATACAAAATAAAAGTTTAAGTTAATAAAATAAACGTTTTTATTTACATAATATATGTGTGTGTACTGTGTATATTTATTATGTATATATAAAAGCACACACATACAGTACATATTTAGAACATTTTTACATGCATACAGTGCCGCTTGAAAGTTTGTGAACCCTTTAGAATTTTCTATATTTCTGCATAAATATGACACAAAACATAATCAAAATTTCACACAAGTCGTGAAAGTTGACAGAGAACCCAATCAAACAAATGAGATGAAAATGTATACTTTGTCATTTATTTATTCAGGAAAATTATCCAATATTACATATCTGTGAGTGGCAAAAGTATGTGAATCTCTAGGATTGGCTGTTAATTTGAAGGTGAAATTAGAGAGTTGTCTTCAATCAGTGAGATGACTATCAGGTGTCAGTGTGTACCCTGTTTTATTTAAAGAACAGGGATCTACATGATCATGTTTGTGGAAGTGTATCATGGCACGAACAAATGAGATCTCTGAGAACAAAAAGAGTTGGTGTTGTTCATCAGGCTAGAAAACTGGACCCTGGGACCCTTTGGACCCATCTGTGAAACATGGTGGTGGTAGTATCATGGTTTGGGCCTGTTTTACTGCGTCTGGTCCAGGACATCTTGCCATCATTGATGGAACAATGAATTCTGAATTATACCAGCAAATTCTGAAGGAAAATTTCAGGACATCTGCCCGAGAACTAAATCTCAAGAGAAAGTGGGCCATGCAGCAAGACAACAACCCCAATCACACAAGTCATTATACCAAAGAATGGCTAAAGAAGAACAAAGTTAATGTTTTGGAATGACTGAGTCAAATTCCAGACCTTAATCCAACTGAAATTTTGTGGAAGGACCTGAAGCAAGCAGTTCATAGGAGGAAACCCACCAACATCACAGAGCTGAAGTGATTCTGTACTGAGGAATGGGCAAAAATTCCTACAAGCCGTTGTGCAGGACTGATCAGCAGTTACTAGAAACGTTACTTGCAGTTCTTGCTGCAAAAGGGGGTCACACCAGATACTGAAAGCAAAGATTCACATACCTTTACCACTCACAAATATTTAACACCAGATCATTTTTCTCAATAAATTAATGACAAAGTATATATTTTAGTCTCGTTTGTTTGACTGGATTCTCTTTGTCTCCTTTCAGGATTTGTGTGAAAATCTAATTATGTTTTGTGTCATATTTATGCAGAAATATAGAAAATTCTAAAGGGTTCTCAAACTTTCAAGCAGCACTGTGTATTTATATTCATATAATTTATATTATATATAAATATATATTATATAAACAAAACATATTTTTCTTAAATATATACATGCATATATTATGTGAACAAAAACTTTTATTTTGGATGCAATTAGGGCTGTCCTCGACTAGGGATTTTTCTGGTCGACTAGTGGTTGCTCATTTTAAGCATTAGTAGACTAATCGCACATTTATTAATAAACCATTTAAATCATTATTATGAGCCTTTAATTGCCTACGTAGTGTAGCGTCTGGACCACTCAAACACACAATATATATTTTGTTAGCTAGATTTAACAAATACTCTGTAACACCCCAGGATGTGTGTGTGTGTGTGTGTGTGTATGTGTATGTTAGACCAGTTTATGTGTTTATGTAGTATGTTGGAGTAGTTTAAGTGTTTATGTAGTTAATAAAACCTTACTTGTATCACACTTGACGTGGTTCATTGTTTGCTCATAACTGGAGTCACTTAATCATGCAGATTTATGCTACAAGCTTTTGTAGAATTGTACAGTAAGGAAGTTATTTCCCTTAACCAGGAAATTAACGTTCTTAGAATTGACAAGACAGTTGACCCTGAGAGGTCAGCTAAATATCTACAGCAGAAGTGTGAGCTGAGTCGCTACAGTAGCCTAATATGCACTCAAGCGCACGAATCGGCAGAGGTAATGATTATGCATGTGTCAGTGAAAAACAGTAAGGAGGCTGCATTAACATTTTAATAATTCACTGATAAACTAGTGCTTTCTTTGTTTCGGGTTTAAGAGATGAATTTGGCGACACTGACTCAGTGCTGCTGCGCCTGTATTCATGTTTCATGCGGATTACATAATCTGAGAATATTTGTTGAATTGGTTCATTTGAAAGTAGACATTTCACTATCTATTGATATATTTTCATCTCCGTAAGGTAAAGATATACACAGAGTTTCGCACTCAAGTTCACAGAGTCATATTTGCTTTCATTATTTCACAAAAGCACAATTTGTTGTTATTGTGAGTGCACACAAATAAACGTAGAGTCTTTACAGATTTGAAAGATGTATTACTCTTGGCCTGTGGAATTTTTGTACATTTTTATTTCTTCTGCGACTAAGCAACTAATACAATTTTGGTCGACTAATGATTAGTTGACTATTATGGGGCAGCCCTAGATGCGATTAATCATAAATATATATTATATTAATATAAATATATACATGTAAATACATGTAAATATTTTCAAAATATATACTGGTTGTGTGTGTATTTATATATACATTAAAAATATAGGCTACACAGTACACACACATATATTACGTAAACAAAAACTTTTATTTTGGATGCGATTAATTGTGATTATTCGTTTGACAGCACTATATGCATTATGCATTTATTTTATTCTCAGTTTATTCCTTTTATCTTTTATTTGTCATGATTAGATGTTATAATTAAGAACGACTAATATTATCAGCTATTATTAATCGTGTTTGTACAGTGTACCTCCATTAAGTAGCATTAATAGAACTTTAAACTCTTAGCTGTCAGGATTATGGACCTGTTTTGTTGTGTTTTCCCTCCCCATGTGCTCAGTGATCCAGTTTGTCCTCTGTTTGATTGTGTTCATGTGATTCAGGTGTGTCGTGTTAATTGTCCTCACTACCCCATGTATTTTGAGTCCCAGTCTGTGCATTCTGTCTTGGTCGGGTCTACATTGTGATGTACGTGTGTCTTCTCCCGTTCCTGGTTTGGATTACCCCTTGTGTGGACTCATTAAAGACTGTTTATTCTAATCTACATCTCCGTTGTTCACTCCGACACAGTGCGTGACATTAGCGTTCCAACGTTCCACATTGAGTTAAATTTGACAGGAATGCTAAGGGGTTATAATCACATTAATTACCTTACATATGGAAATGATTGCATGCAGACAGTGCACCCTATTATATTAATTTGAAAAATGAAAATGGCTATATAGACTATTGGACAAAAAAACTCTTTCAAACTATTTTCTGTATATCAAAATAAAATAGCGTTACCTGAAAATGCGTATTATATGAGGTTTCATATAAACTGAAGCCAAGGGAATTTATGCATTTATGCTTTCTTTTGCTCTGAGGATAGCATTAGCCTACATTTTATTTAGACAAGACCTTAGAGGACATTATAACTGTATTTAATAAAGTACACCTCTATTGTTGTCAACCCTCGTTAAACTGCTAAATATTTCAGTTCTGCCAGACAAATAACAAGATGTGTTGTGGACAAAACAGCTAAGAATTAAACAACTAACAAAACGAAGAAACTGCAGCTGATGGCAGGTTTGGCCTGTCTGTCTGTCTGTCTGTGTGTGTGTGTGTGTGTGTGTGTGTGTGTGTGTGTGTGTGTGTGTGTGTGTGTGTGTGTGTGTGGAGAGGGATGTAATCAGTCGCACAGCCACCCGGCTCTTGGGCCGGTGACAAATCGAAAGTGTCTCGCTGTAGTTTATTGCTCTGATCAGGTCAAACGAAAAATATTGGAGGTCTGGGCGAAGAGACAGTTCCGTCTGCCGCAGATAAATGGACTGATCATTTCTTATTGAGAAACAATTCCTAAAAGGTAGTTTACAGCATGACTGAGGGAAGCAGGCGGCGCAGAGCTCCCACCCTGACCCTTCCCTCCGCCGCTGAATTAAATGGATAGAGAGAGGGTGAGTTTCTGATGGCACAACTCCACTGCAGAGACACTCCATTTATTATGGAGCAGGGGCCTCTGATGAAGTGTAGGCAGAGGGTTCTTCTTCTTTATTTATTTATTTTCTCGCTCTTTCTCTCTCAAGTGAAGTACAAGGCTGGCCTTCAGGCTTCTACACTCCAAATGGATAGAGGGAGGCAATTGAATTTTACACTCCCCTGGTTATGATTAATGCCCGTCTGTGATGGCTGTAGAGGTGGGAAACCGCCGCAAGGTGGCGCTGGTAATCCACGCACGTCTCTGCTTCCCAGTTCGCATTTCGTGCCCTGAAAGTATATACTTCGCTGATAATGGGAATGTA